AAATCTATTAGAAGCTCATTACCGATTAGGACATCCATCTCTCTCACTAATGAAGCAATTATATCCTCAGTTTAATAAAGTGTCTTCTATACAATGTGAGTCGTGTGAGTTTGCTAAACATCATCGCACTACTTTAAGTCCCCGACTTAATAAACGAGCAAATGCTCCGTTTGATCTTGTCCATACTGATGTTTGGGGGGCATGTCCAGTTGTGTCCAAACCTGGTTTCAAATATTTTGTCACTTTTGTTGACGATTATTCTCGTATGACATGGGTGTATTTTATGAAGCGCCGATCCGAGTTATTTACTCATTTCTCTGCATTTTGTGCTGAAATTAAAACTCAATTTAATGTTCCTGTTCGTGTGTTAAGGGGAGACAATGCCCAAGAATATTTATCTGCTCCATTTAAATCTTTTATGCTTCAACATGGCATTATTCATCAAACTTCATGCGTAGACACACCTCCTCAAAATGGAGTTGCTGAAAGAAAGAATCGACATCTGTTAGAAACTGCAAGGGCTCTTCTATTCCAAATGAATGTGCCTAAACAGTTTTGGGCTGACGCTGTGTCTACTTCATGTTTTTTGATCAATCGTATGCCATCTTCTGTTTTGGATGGTAAAACTCCTTATCAATGTCTTTTTCCAAATAAAGAACTTTTTCCTATTCCACCTAAAATATTTGGTTGCACTTGTTTTGTTAGAGATGTTAACCCTCATCGGACGAAATTGGACCCCAAGTCATTGAAATGTATTTTCTTGGGTTATTCTCGAGTTCAAAAGGGGTATAGATGTTTTTGTCCAAGTACAGGTCGATATCTTATTTCTATTGATGTCTCATTTCATGAAAATACACCATTTTCATCATCCAAGACAGATATTCATGAGGACAACGATGAAATACTCATTTACACAGTTACTATACCTGAGACCACACCTTCAGTAACTATGTCGAATGTCACTGTTCCTGACCCTAGACCTCCTGTACACTTGGTTTACACCCGTCGACACAAAGCACAAGATCACTCCCCACCTGTGACACCTGTGAATACATATCCTGATACTGGTCCGACTTCGATCTCATGTCCTGAACCAGTACCCGCATCTTCAGATCTTGTCTCTACATCTGATCTTGACCTCCCGATAGCACTACGTAAAGGTACACGGTCTTGTACTCATCCTATTTCCTCATTTGTGTCATACAGTCAGTTATCTCCTGCCTCATGTTCTTTTGTTGCTTCCATTGATTCTATTTCTGTTCCCAAATCTGTTCAAGAAGCTTTGTCTCATCCTGAATGGCGTCATGCCATGGTAGAGGAAATGAATGCTTTGGATCTTAATGGTACTTGGGATTTGGTATACTTGCCTTCAGGGAAGAAGTCTATTGGATGTAAGTGGGTCTTTGCTGTTAAGGTTAATCCAGATGGATCTGTTGCTCGATTGAAAGCTCGATTGGTTGCAAAGGGTTATGCTCAAACCTATGGTGTTGATTATTCTGACACTTTTTCTCCTGTTGCTAAATTAACATCTGTCAGGTTACTTATCTCACTCGCTGCAACTCATGATTGGCACTTACACCAGTTGGACATTAAAAATGCATTCTTACATGGTGACCTTCAGGAGGAAGTTTATATGGAGCAACCTCCGGGATTTGTTGCTCAGGGGGAGTATGGGAAAGTTTGTCGACTTCGCAAATCTCTTTATGGTCTGAAACAGAGTCCTCGTGCATGGTTTGGGAAATTCAGTCAATCCATTGAACGGTTTGGAATGATAAAAGGTCAATCAGATCACTCTGTCTTTTACAGAAAAACGAAAGCAGGTATCACATTGCTTGTGGTGTATGTCGATGATATTGTGATTACAGGAAGTGATACCGCAGGTATTTTGGCCCTTAAGAATTTTCTTCATAGCCAATTCCAAACAAAAGACCTAGGCTCATTGAAATACTTTCTGGGTATTGAGGTAACACGGAGTAAGAAAGGCATATTTCTATCTCAGCGTAAATATGTACTTGATTTACTAACTGAAACAGGGAAATTGGGAGCAAAGCCAAACACAACTCCCATGGTTCCCAATGTGCAACTCACTTCAGAAGGCATACCATTCGAAGACCCAGAAAGGTACAGAAGATTGGTTGGAAAGCTTAACTATCTCGCAGTCACTCGTCCAGACATTGCTTACTCTGTGAGCGTAGTGAGTCAATATATGTCATCTCCGACAGTTGATCATTGGAATGCAGTAGAGCATATATTATGTTACTTGAAGGGGACACCAGGACGAGGTATTGTTTACCAAAATCATGATCACATGAGAATAGAATGCTTTGCAGATGCTGATTGGGCTGGATCTAAAGATGATAGGAGATCCACATCTGGCTATTGCGTCTTTGTTGGTGGTAATCTCGTCTCTTGGAAAAGTAAGAAGCAAAATGTGGTTTCTCGTTCGAGTGCTGAATCAGAATATCGGGCTATGGCACAATCGGCATGTGAGATAATCTGGATAAACCATTTGCTGAGTGAAATCGGATTGAAGACACCAATGCCTGCTAAACTCTGGTGTGATAACCAAGCTGCTATACACATTGCCAACAACCCAGTGTTTCATGAGAGAACAAAACATATTGAGGTCGATTGTCACTTTGTTTGAGAAAAGATACAACAAGGATTGATCTCTACAGGATATGTGAAGACTGGAGAGCAACTTGGAGATTTGTTCACTAAAGCATTAAATGGAATTCGTGTTGGTTATTTATGTAACAAGTTGGGCATGATAAATATCTATGCTCCAACTTGAGGGGGAGTGTGAAAGACATTAGAATATACTTTAGAATATACTTTAGAATATTCTTCTATCCTTAGAATATGCTTTAGAATATTTTAGGAATATACTCTAGGATATTATTATTGTATAGAATCTTATAGGAATATTCTATCTTTGTAATCTATATTTATAGGGACTTAACCCTCCAATGAAATGCACAGAAAATCTTTCCTCCTCTCTTCAATATTATATTTTGTAGTTTATATTTCAACAAGCTTCTTAGCCGGGATCAACTCTAGCTAAGGCCCGAGAGCGACTAGCTCAAGTCCAACAACATATGAAGCTGTAGTATGATAAAACTCATGGTGATCGTTCCTACGAGGCAGGAGATTGGGTCTGGCTACACATTCATCCTTACAGACAACTCTCCCTAGGTCATGGTAACCATAAATTAATTCCAAACTTTCATGGACCGTTTCAGGTTCAGTCTATTGAAGGTAAGGTATCACGAGGAAGCCACATTCACGATGTGTTCCATGTCTCTCTTTTAAAGCCACACAAGGGGACCCCACCATCAACCATGGGAACTCTGCCATTGCTAGTTGACCCACCTGAAGAAAGTAAACTGCTTGCTGATCTCTTCAACCGTTTGAATCATGGCTCCTTAGAATTCTTGGTCCAGTAGCAGAGCAAATCACTTGAAGAAACCTCTTGGGAACCTGCACATACATTTTGGACCTCTTATCCATATTTTGAGCTTGAGGACAAGCTCCTAGTCAACAAGGGGAGTGATGTAATGGACAACTTTTGGGGCCAAAAATATCAAAGATGCAGGATGGGCCATAGGGGTGATTGGCCCGAAGAAATTCAGCCCAACGTAACCACTGAAAGTGGCTGATTTCGGGAGCAAGTTCCTTTATTTGCTTCACTGCTATTTAATTTTGTTTTAGCAAGTTTCCTAATTCAGTTTTAGTAAGTTTCTTAATTACGTTTTAGCAAATTTCTCTTATTCTCTTTTAGGACTCTTGTAAGACCTATATATAGGGTTCCTTAGTTGATCTATAATGTGTTTTTTTGCAAAATTAATTATTGTGTGTCTTGACAATAAAATCTTTTATTTCTATTTCATTCATCTGTTTACTTGAATTCGCTTCTGTTTTCTCCTTCTCGACCTTGGACGTGGTCATGTACGCGCGCTCTAACAGTCTCATAATGCATGAGCCAATACCTTTTGAACCATTTCTAGATTCTCTAAGGTTCTGGCTAAAAATTGTTGCCCATTTTCACTGCTCGTGATTAAGAAAGAAAAACTGTATGGTGAAGATTTAACTAGAAGAGAGGAATATTGTGAACCACATATTGCTTTCCTTAATAGGAAATGCATAATATTGTGAACCACATATTGCTTTCCTTAATAGGAAATGCATAATATTGGGAAGATACATTTAGGAGATGTGAGATTATATGTTTATCAGAGCGCTGCTTTCTCAACTGTTTGTTTTTATTCAATAAAGAAACTTATGTATCATAGAAAGGAAGTAAGGAACATACTTTAAATTTAAATCTATTAAGCACCAAATCTGTTTTGAACTCTTCTTTTATCTGATCATATATTTTTATTGTCTACACATAAATCCAATTTTAATATGTTATCCAGCCTCTCTCTATAGTCAAATATAAAGGTAATTTCAGCTGACATTGACTCATTGTTTTCAGATAGTGTGACTCATACCAACCATGTCAGGACATCCTAGGTTTTATTTAGTTTTGTTTTTTATTGTTCGGTTATCAAAAAAATTAAGATCAGAAGATGGTTGTAAATAATTGATTGTTTTTATTATTATGTTTAAAAAAGAAGAACAATGGGACTTGTGTGAGAAATAGTTAACTTTGACTGTAATCTTATATATAGTGTTTAAAATCTCTTTTCTTTTAAATCCTTTGGTTTTGATTTCATCTTTAGAATATTCTTGTACTTCCAATCTTTTGGAAAGTATTTATATATTTGGCACAGTTAGGCTTGCAAGTGGTACCATGTTAAATCTTCATTCATGTTGCAAATAAGGGATTTAAGGGAAGCTAGGTTAACAGGGAATAGATGGACTGGGATTTACTTGCTCGATTTTTTAATTGAAGTTATGCTCGTTGTAAGGCTCGTGATGGCTACTAGGTTGAGGTTAATTCCTTTTTAACCCTGATTCACCTGTTCCTTTTTTTTTTTTTTTTGTGTCTATCGCAGGCAAACCCTCTTGATCTTTTTGAGACGTTTTTTGGGGCTGGTCTTGGCAATTTCGGAATGGATGCATCTAGCTTTGGGACTGGGGCAACAGGTCCCCGAAGAACGAGTCCCAAGGGTGATGATTTACGGTAAGGATGGATACATTTTCTAATTATTACTCTGCAATCTGTATCATTTATTAAAGACCTGAAATGAACAATATTGCCTAACAAGATCTGAAAAAGAGCTTGGCAGTGATTACACTGACTATTACCCTGAATCCCTGATATTATTTATCACATTCCATTGATGTTGTGCTTGGACTGATACAACAACATCCAAGCCTTCATCCCAAAGCCACATGTTCAGAATCATATCACACTAGGGTTTACTATGTTGTGTGAGCTTAGCAAAGTATTTGGAGAAGTTTCCTCCCTGTAGTGGTTGGTAATTATGACCTCTGATATGTAGTAAAGTTTCAGGTTTGACTTGCATGATTTTGACCTCCAACTTTTCCCATGTGATATGTGGTTGGGACTTGGGAGTGATTAATGGTCGTAGGTGGGGATACTAAATGAGGCTAGTGAAGTAAGACTGACTTTTACAAAAAAAAAAGACTTATTCAGGATGAGCCAAGAAGGAAACAAGAACTTTATTGAGTGAATGCAAATAAGGTGTTACTTTATGCTGTATTTAAATTCAAGTCTCCAACATTATGCTACTTCATTTTTTCTATGGATCATGTTAGCATGTTTTAATGATTTTTTGAAAGAATTATAATATGCTTTAACCACCATTGGTTCGAGGTCAACTCTTAGTTGATATTGTTGATGCATATGCTCTCATCATGCATATATTATGCTCCAACTGTTAATAATCTCTATGAAAGTCTAATGTTGAGTCAATTTGCAGTTATGATATAACCTTAGAGTTTATAGAAGCTATATTTGGAGCTGAAAAAGAATTTGTCCTTTCACATCTTGAATCATGTGGCGTTTGTGATGGTACTGGAGCCAAAGTGGGCACCAAAATGAGGATATGCTCAACGTGTGGTGGCAGAGGTCAAGTTAAGAGAACCGAGCAAACACCTTTTGGCATGTATTCCCAGGTAACTAAAATACTATTCTCTTTAGGCTCTGTTTGGATGGAGGGCTTTGGAAGGGAAAGCTTTGGAGGGCTTAGTCTATCCTAATATGCGATCATATAACATTGAAATACTCCGTAATATTTTATTTATTCTTAGAAACAGTCTCTATCAAGGTATGGATTAAGTCCTCCAAAGCCCTCCCCTCCAGATCCCTCTAAAGCCCTTCACCCAAAGAGACCCTTATGGTCATTTCTATTAGTAGATTGGAAGAAAATAGAGAAAGATTTCTTTATTCTGATTATTATTGTGTACTCCATACGAGAGGAAGATTACAATAGAGAGCTTTGCCATTTTCGGTCCACTGACTATCGTGTCATTGACACTTTTGGTACTCGACTTTTAACTTTTCCAATTTTAGTCCTTGACTATTATTATAAAGACATTTTTAGTCATTTTCAATGAGAAGATTTCAGTCCATACTAACTATCTCAACTCACCCACCTATAATGACAATGATTTCAGAATCTCTTTGCATTATTCCTTTATGAGAAGATTCCATATACTCACTTTGTGCTCTTTTATTGCATGAATGTATAGTATTAACTAATCAATCGGCACTAAAAATATAAATCCCATGGACCCCAACTAGTTGGGATTAAGATGACGCCACTGTCTTTAAGTTTCTTAATTTGAATGCCATTTTATTCTTTTCCTTTTCTGCTCCCTTCATTTCATATGCAAAATAACCGTCCAAGAGTAAGAATCCCTGTTAATGTGCTGTGGTGGAAGCAATAGTGATGATAAAAAAATGGATCTCTGGATTTCTGGATATTCTCGTCAGTTGAATTTTGAGAGGGTACTTCCATCTCTTTAGTCAATTAGACTATGGCCTGCTGTGTAGAAGATAAGTAAATCGAGTGGTTCACACAACTGTTCTTGTCTAAGGATCGGTTTGTTGGATATTATTTTATTATTAATCTGCAGGAGTAAGTTCTTGAGTATGCCTTACACTTACTGGGCTTTGGTTAATAATATAGGTTTCTGTATGTCCAAATTGTGGAGGCAATGGTGAAGTGATTTCTGAGTTTTGTAGTATATGCTTAGGGAAGGGGCGGAGACGAGTGAAGAAAGATATCAAAGTCAAAATACCACCTGGAGTGAGCAAGGGCAGTATCCTCAGAGTTGCTGGTGAGGGGGATGCAGGTCCACGGGGGTAAAACATAGATATATGAACTTATCACTTGCTTTTTTTAATATTCAGTTACGATTCTGAATATTTATCTTGGTCATTAGTTCAGTACCTTTTCTTGTTTTGTTTGAAAACATTCTGAGTTTATAGCTATTAAGCACAGTAACCAACCTGATATGATCTTTAAACACACATCTGACTGACTACATCCAAAATATCTATTGTTTTATATAGTGAAGCTGAGTTATAAACCGTTGACATGTCACTTTGTTATTGGTGTAACAATAATATCTATTATCACTACTTTTAAAACATTTAATTAATTCCAATTAATAAATATTTAAGGTCATTATCTTATCTAGATTCAATTGTTTAAACGGGGTGTAAAAAAAGAGACGAATAGGACTCTAATTTGAATAAAAGTTTAATATGAATGGGAGTCTAGGAGATTAATTCAACTAAAATACATTTAATTAATTTCATCTTAAACTGTTTTACCATAAAATAATACATTTCTAGAAAAAAATCATTACAGGGGTTCCATTATATGTTATGAATAAAATATGAAAGTTCATATGTATCTCAAATTCGAAAAGTTTGAGCATACTGTTAGATTAATCTATTTTAATTAATAATTAATTAAAATATATATTAGTTGTGTTAATTTTTTTTGTCAACAAGAATATGGATTCAATTACCTTCGTTACAACAACAACCCGGTTTCTTTTAATCCTCTTTGTTGATAAAATGAAGAGACATCATTAATCTAGGATTTATTTTCCTTATTATTACTGTAATTATGTGTCTTTAGTGCTTCAGGTTGTATATAATAGCTGCTGTCTTTTCAGTTCTCAATCATTTATGTTTGGTATTTAGACAGTCACCTAGGGTACTGAATAGACACTCTGAGGCTTCCTATCTATCTGTATAAATAGCTTCTGTACTTCTTGTAAATGGATTCTTGGAAATATAATATTCAGAAAACTTCATGGTATCAGAGATTGGTTTCGTATCAGCCACTTCACTGTTAATCATCTTTCGAACAGTCTACTAGGGTGTCTCCCCACCTCTCTGTTTAATCGTCTGGTGCCCATCTCTTCACCAACGCCCAACGGTTTTATCATGTCTAAGGAAACTAAATCAAGTAACCTTGATCACTCGACCATTGTTTCAGCTGCTACTGCAGCCGCGTTTGCTCTTCGAAACCAGAAATTTGATCTCCCTTCTATTCCGCCATCTTACCGTCTCAATGGCAGGAACTATCTTGGATGGTCAAAGCTGGTTTACACTCTCCTACGCGGCAAAGATCTTGAAGACTATCTCACTGTCTCTACCCCAGAAGAAGGAGAGATTGATGTTGCTATTTGGGAGAAAACTAATGCCAACATACGGGTCTGGTTATGGGACTCTATGGATCCCAACATTAGCAGTACATGTTTATACATGGACTCGGCTAAAGAAATCTGGGATTTCATACAGCAGCCCTACTCTGTTGCTAGAGATGGCGCTTTTGTCTATGACTTATGGCTCAAAACAACGAATCTTAAGCAAGATTCACAATCTGTCACAGATTATGCAACTGACCTCCAACGACGATGGTCTGAACTTGACCAGTATCAAACAATGAAGTGGTCGAATGCTGCAGATGCAGCTCTTCACAAGAACTATATAAATCAGCAACGTCTATATTGCTTCTTATCTAGTTTAAATCCCGAATATGATTAGACTCGGGGTCAAATTCTTGGCATTACTCCTCTGCCTTCCATATCTTCTGCCATTGCCACTATCAAACATGAAGAGAGTAGACGCAATATAATGATGAATACAAAGCTGATTGACAGTACAGCTCTTGCTGCCAAATCTACTCCTTCAGATGTTAAGGAAACTAAGGGTAGTAAGGGAGGAAGATGGTGTGATCATTGCAAGCGGTCCAATCATAATGTGGATACATGTTGGAAACTTTATCCTCATCTACAGAAAGAAAAATCCAGGACAGACGTAGAACTAGTGCTGGACGTGCCAACTCAGTCACTCCCACTATTGTTGAGAGCTCTACTAATCTTTCGCCCATTTCCCAAGAGGAATTACAACAACTTCGTATGATGCTACAGTCTTAACTCAAATGGTTCTGGTCATAGCTCTTTGGCCCTGCAAGGTAAAACCTCTACTATTTTTTGTCTTAATGCTTCGGAACAGAGTTCACAATCCCAATGGATATTAGACTCAGGTGCCACATCTCATATGACGGTCATACCCTCTTTACTCTCTAATTATCATCCATGTTTTACATCCACACACATTACTACTACTGATGGGACACCTACAAAGGTTGCGGGACTTGGTACGGTTGTTTTTTCTGAAAAATTAAATCTGAAAAACACCCTACATGTCCCAAACCTGGCTATGAACCTTGCTTCTATTTACAAACTCACAGTTGATCTTAATTGCGCTGCCATTTTTTTCCCTTCCCACTGTTTATTACAGGATCTACACACGGGGAGGACAATTGGAATTGCTAAACAAAGAGATGGCCTGTACTACCTTGATGCACTGTTTGTCTCCAAACCTCCACAAAAAGCTCTTACCACAATCTCAGCCAATACCAACACTATTTGGCTTCACCACAAGCGCCTTGGTCATCCCTCTTTTCATGTCCTAAAAACCATGTTTCCTAGTCTTTTTAGCAGTATTGATGTTTCTACATTTCAATGTGATGTCCGTGAACTTGCTAAACAGTCTCGTGTATCTTTTTCTAGAAGTAATACAATCAATTGTTCTCCTTTTGATATTATACATAGTGATGTCTGGGGCCCTGCTCCAACTGCTAATATATCTGGTGTCCGGTGGTATGTTACATTTATTGATGATTGCACACGTTTTATGTGAGTTTTTCTGCTAAAAAACAAGAGTGAGGTGAGTTCCATCATTCCTATCTTTTGCAATATGATTCATAATCAGTTCTCCGCCACTATAAAACGCTTCCGCACTGATAATGCTCTTGAATACTTCAATCAAACTGTTTCCTCTTATTTCCTCTCAAAAGGCATTGTCCATGAGTCCTCTTGTCCATACACACCACAACAGAATGGCACAACAAGAATGGCACAACAGAAAGAAAAAATTGCCATCTCCTTGAAGTCAGTCGGGCTTTATTGTTTCAATCAAATATGGCTAAACACTATTGGGGGGAAGCCACACTCACAGCATGTCATCTCATCAATAAAATTCCCAGTCGGGTACTCCAAAATAAGTCACCCCTTGAATCTCTCCATCACTTCTTTCCTCAAACCGGAATTTCTTCTGATCTTGATCTAAGGGTGTTTGGGTGTACTGCATTTGTTCATATTCCTCCACCTCATAGGGGAAAATTGGACCCACGATCTATTAAGTGTATCTTTCTTGGTTATTCTCCCACTCAGAAAGGATATAAGTGCTATAATCCTACAACCAGAAAGACATACACCAGTGCAGATGTGACCTTTCACGAAGACACACCTTTTTACTCTCCTACTTCTCTCCCTGTATCCCAAGATACTCCACATCCTTCACCTCTTCCCACCTATACCATTACATCTTCTCCATCACATACAATCTCCTACCCTCCTAAGCCTTCATCACCAGACATCCCATCACTACCACCACCACATGATCCATCACCTTCTTTAGATGTGTCAGCAACATCACCTACTTCCCAACAATCTTCAACATCACCTGAATCTCAATCAAATCCACCACCAGACCATCCCATTCCTACACCTACTAAATCCACCACTCATGACCCACCTTCTCCTCTACCAGTGACAAAAGTGTACTCAAGGAAAAACAGGTTCACTCCATTGTTGACGCATGACCAATTGGCTGACCCAAGTAATGTCTCTTCTTCTCCACCACCATCTCCGCCAATTGCTTTACGCAAGGGTGTACGTCAATGTACCAAAACATCTCTATACCCTCTTACTAATTTTGTTACCATTGATAACTTCTCTCCTTCACATGCCTTGTTTGTTCAGAGACTTAATGAAATTCCCATACCCAACTCTGTTTCTGAGGCATTAGGAAAGAAAGAATGGAGGGATGCTATGCAAGAGGAAATTAGAGCTCTTGAAAAGAACCATACTTGGGATATTGTGACTAAACCTCCTGGGAGGCATGTTGTTGGTTGCAGGTGGATCTTTACTGTCAAATACAAGGCTGATGGATCTCTTGAGCGGTACAAAGCTCGTCTTGTGGCTAAAGGATACACTCAAACGTATGAGATTGACTATCAAGAGACCTTTGCTCCTGTAGCTAAGCTCAATACTGTCCGTATCCTACTATCCTTGGCATCTCACTTTGATTGGCCTTTATTGCAATTTGATGTCAAGAATGCTTTTCTCCACGGTGACTTGCATGATGAGATCTACATGCACATTCCCCAGGCTTTAATAAAACATCAACAAGTACCTCTACACATGTATGCCATTTAAAAAAAGCCCTCTATGGTCTCATGCAATCCCCTCGTGCGTGGTTTGACCGCTTCACACAGGTTGTTCTTGCTGTTGGGTATAGTCAAAGTCAAGGGGATCATACTCTTTTTTACAAACACTCTCGCCCAAATGATCCACTTGAGAAACAACGTCTTGAGAGGCAGCTGAAATCCAAATTTGAGATGAAGTCTCTTGGCCCTCTAAAATACTTTCTTGGAATTGAAGTTGCTCGCTCATCTGAAGGCATCTTTATCAGCCAACAAAAGTACATTGCAGATTTGTTAAAAGAGACTGGTAAGAGTGCTTGTCGACCGGTTACTGCACCTATGGATCCTAATCATAAGCTTGGACTTGCTACTGATGAACTCAAGGTTGATTCATCAATGTATCAGCGCTTGTGTGGCAAACGTATCTATCTCTCTCATACCAGACCTGACATTGCCTATGCAGTTAGTGTTTTGAGTCAGTTCATGCATGATCCAAGGAAACCACATCTAGAAGCAGCCTATAGGGTTCTTCACTATCTAAAAGGAAGTCCAGGGCAAGGGATAATATTCAGGAAGGGTGGGCAATTATCAGTCCAAGCTTTCACAGATGCAGATTATGGTGGCTCCCTCGTTGACCGTTGGTCAACCACTGGTCTCTGTGTTTTCCTAGCAGGAAACCTCGTGACATGGAGAAGCAAAAAACAGAATGTTGTGGCACGATCATCTGCTGAATCTGAGGTAAGAGCTCTTGCCCATGGCTCATGTGAACTTCTATGGATCATAATTATTCTCTTAGATTTACGAATCAAGTGGAAAGGACCAATGGAATTGAGGTGTGATAACAAATCAGCAATCAACATAGCTCATAATCCAGTCCAACATGATCGGACCAAGCATATTGAGATTGATAGGCACTTTATCAAAGAAAAGGTTGAAGGAGGTCTGATCGAACTAAGCTACACTCCCTCAGAAGATCAAGTTGCAGATGTGTTTACCAAACCTCTGCACAATCCTAGGTTTCAGGGTCTTATTGTCAAGCTAGGCATGACGGATATCTACAAACCTAGCTTGAGGGGGAGTGTTGATAAAACGAAGAGACATCATTAATCTAGGATTTATTTTCCTTATTATTACTGTAACTATGTGTCTTTAGTGCTTCAGGTTGTATTTAATAGCTTCTGTCTTTTCAGTTCTCAATCATTTATGTTTGGTATTTAGACAGTCACCTAGGGTACTGAATAGACACTCTCAGGCTTCCTATCTGTTTAAATAGCTTCTGTACTTCTTGTAAATGGACTCATGGAAATATAATATTCCGAAAACTTCGCTCTTCAAAGGCAACGATAGAAGAAGCACAAAATTTCCGAACAAAGAAATATTTAAAAAAGTTTATTTTTTTTAAACACATGAATGATAATAAATCATTCACACATCAATACTTTAAAATCCTTTCTCATTTCTCAACAAAATATTACTCCGTCCCTTCGTCCCTGAAAAAATTCTAACCTTCCTTTTTGGGCGTCCCAAAATAAATTTTCACTTTCCCTTTTTGGTAAGAATTTGTGGTTCATAATAAATCTTATGTATTCTTACACATTTATCTCTCCTCTACACAACTCTTCACCACACAATACTCACTATATTAATCCCGTGCTATTTGTACTATGAAAGAAAAATTTGGGACAGAGGGAGTAGTAAACATATTATTTTAATCAACCTAGAAAACATTATTAACAACTTCTATAAATAATTGACAGCCTTATTAATATAACCTTAATTCATATCAGAGTGTTGCTATCCGAGGCATGCCCCAGGTGTTACACTAGTTCTCTTTGTTCCAATTTATCTGTCTATGTTGACCAAATCACATATGCATTGGAGGATAAATTAATCAAAACTTTTAGTGCTTTACCTGAAATGTCCTCATTAAAAGCTATACATCTATGTTGCTCTCAAGAAAAAGGTAAATTAAGTAGTTCAAGATGGGCAAGTTTGGAATATCTATATCTATATATATATATATATATATATATATATATATATATATATATAGAGTCCCGTTCCTATCAGGAGTTCCTGATGAGAAGCCCCGTGCGGACAAGCCCATCAGAGGGTCTTCCCGGTGGAATTTTTTGATGAATTTTTTTGAGCATGTTCCTCATCAAGTCTAGTTTGTCCATACCAAATTTCAGCTCAAAATTCGATCGGGAAGGCAGTCAAATAAATCCGGGAAACATACTGCACTTTATATGTGCGCAGAATGAGCCATAGTTTTCCAGGATTTATTTGACTGCCTTCCCGATGGAATTTTGAGCTGAAATTTGGTATGGACAAACTAGACTTGATGAGGAACATGCTCAAAAAATTTGATCAAAAAATTCCACCGGGAAGACCCTCTGATGGTCTTGTCCGCACGGGGGTTCTCATCAGGAACTCCTGATGTGAACTGCCCTCTCTCTCTCTCTCTCTCTCTCTATATATATATATATATATATATATATATATATATATTAAGGGTGTGGTTCAGGTGAGAACACTCCTTAAAGTGAGAAATGAGAACGCTCCAAAACGATGCACTTTATCGCTCACGAAAACGCACATTTATGGTCAACGTAATGCAAAATTCAAATGTGCACATTTACGTTTAAACTTTTGCACACTTGGAATGCACATTTTCCATTTTTTTATATGCACATTTCTGTTTCACATGATGCACGATACCTAAATCAAACGCTCTAGAATCATTCTCATTTCTCTCCTAAGATGATATTCTCATATGATCTTACCCTATATTAAAGTAATGCAAAATTCAAATGTGTACATTTTTGTGCATATATTTCATAACTGGATGAATAAAAAGGAACATGCAAATTTGGTCAATATAGAAGTAGGAATGGACAAAATACTGTTTTGAGAAAGGCTCTAGTTCCATTCTGCCAAAAACAAAATTGTCGTGTGTGCTCATGTTTTTTTAATCCATCATTCCCGATGGAGCCAAAGACTCATTATTTTTTGGCTTGGGAATATGGAATCCGTCTCTCTGTGCTTTAGCACAGAGGTAAGGCTGCATACATCTGAAGTCCTATTATATGAAACTGAACTATATTTTCATGAAAGTTGCCCAAAAAATCGCCAAAAATAGTTACAAACGTGATCTTTATGATAAATTTAGTTATACCAGGAAAATAATTTTTAAAGATGCAAGTAGGATTCCATGAATCTTAAGAAATGTCCCATTCCAGAATTCAAAAGTTGTATCTTAAAAAACATCTCTGTCTTTTTTGGGACAAAGCTAGTATGCAAGGCATAATGATTAAAATGCTGTCAAATAAAGCAAAGTTATCCACTTATGTTTTTTATTTGTATAACCTACTCATTTTTCATTGTATACAGGGGACCTCCGGGAGACCTCTTTGTTTATCTTGAGATTGAAGAGATACCAGAGATTCAAAGAGATGGCATAAATCTAATTTCAGTCATTTCAGTTAGTTATCTTGATGCTATACTGGGAGCTCTTGTCAAGGTTAATGCTCTGCACATTTCACTTCATGATTGATGGTACCAGCTGTACCTGTGTATCAACCATGCATGTTTATATATGGCATTTAATACTCTCTACTTCCAAAAGGCGCATTGACAAACCTATTTTTTTCCCAAAAAGAGAGTATTAAACAAAAGTGTCTCAAACGAGTTAAGTTTGATAAATTTTGTTAAACCAACAAATTAATTTATGAGTACACCAAGAATTGATGATTTCCAATAGTTGTACTTTGCGAATTAAAAAGTTTCACCTTTAAAATTAGAAATTATACTTGGGCGAAAATCGAAAGAAAACTCATTTTTTCGGGACAGAGGTAGTAGCAAAAAACAGTTATGTTTATTCTTGAGTATGGTACAGCTTTATTTCAATTCAATTCAAACAAGGGGCAATCTTTTTACAAGTTATGAATGGTCACTTAAAACTGCTCGCTGCTTGGCCGTAACAAGAACTATACTTAAAAGTGGATGTTGATTTTTTAACACCAGAGTAGAGGTTTTTGTAGTTGGAAGGAGAGAGTACGTAAATTGATCATTTTCAGTGTATTTCAATGAGTAGAACTTCATAACATACTGAAAGTGTCATCAATGTTATAAAGAGTTCATGATGTATAGGATTTTATGTAGATTAAAACAGTTGAAGGGACAACTGACCTTTGGATTCCTCCTGGTACTCAACCTGGTGATGTGCTTGTCTTGGCAAGCAAAGGTGCCCCTAAGCTAAATAAACTCTTAATACGTGGCGACCATTTGTTTACTGTAAAAGTTAGTATACCAAAACGTGTCAGGTATGGATATGTGATCATATTATTATAAACATTAATTTGTTTTTTTTGATAGACTTTCTCTGAAATTTAGCACAACAACACCCGAAATTATATGTTATTACGTCTTCTTTATCTCTCTCTCTCTCTCTCTCTGTTTGTATTTGATCCCTAAATGCAGCGCAAAGGAACGACAGTTACTTGAGGAGCTTGCTTCCTTGAATAGCAAGCCTGTGTCTTGGAATAAAACTCTTACCAACATTCAGCAAACTGGTATGCATGAAATTTAATGTTCATGAATTCTGTGAAGTACATAAAAGTTGTCATTATTAAAAACATATTTTGTACTTTATTTATCTTCTACCGCAACTTTTTCAACATACAATTTAATCTCCTAATTCTAGGATTAGAATATCAATCGAACATGATGGGAACCTCAAATGTAGTTTTGAGTTTACTACTCTACAAGCAGTTAATAATTGATCTTCAACACAAGTTATATAAGGGCATGTTAGGAACACGGAGCTGAAAATCTAGTTGATAGATGTAAATTTGCTTAAATCTGATAAGTCAATAACTAATAGTTGAAAAGTGAACGCAGTAATTCATGTTAGAACTTACAGTATAAATGTTGTTATTTTTTTTGTGAAACAACAAGGTTATTAGTAGGAAAAAGTTAATTAATGAAAAGTTTTTTTTAAGCTACATGAGATTATGTGATAACTTTCGACTACGTGTTTCTTGTAAGTTCTATTATATTTATGAAATAGGGGTGATAGCTTATATATAGATCCAAAATTAAGCTATAAATTCCAAATTAGATGTAATAAATGCACACTAAACCTAAAGGATATGATATTACCGTCTTTATACTACCACAATTTGTAAAATTGTTTGTGATTTGCAGCTAGAAGTACGGAGAGAGAAATTGATTCCTGGTCTGCTGTTGAGAGAACTGATGATAAAGAAGATAATGACATTTGGAAAAGATTAAAAGACTTCGCTGGGTAAATTTCCTATCCCTCTTTTACCTTATGTAAGGGCACTTATTAAATAACACCAACTTTGTTGCATAGCTTAGGGTTGGTATTATAATTATACCGTTGAAATTCAATTGGGATATGTTTGGATTCCATAAAATGGTACGAAGAGAAAAGAAAATACTAAAGAAAGTTATTTTCTTCTGTATGGATTTACCTGAAAAAGTTCACAGTACACAGAATGTGATTAATGTTTCTAATTTTGTATGCATATGTTTGGATTGCTTATGATTTATACAATAGAAATAATAACAAATGAACATGAATATTTTTTTTTTTTGAGTTTGAACCAATATATTAGTCTCCTGGCAATTTATTTCCTCACATATTCTCTTTGGGCAAACTTTATTAATGGTACCATAACTATTAATATGGATGCATTTCAGTACCTCAACTATTATCCCTATTTTTCTCTTAACTGTTTTCCCATTCTAAAAGCTTTTGGAAAATGGATTTCAATTAAAGCTTCATAGCTAGAACTTAGAGCGTGGTTAGTAAGATCAGGGGAGAGCATGAGACAGGTTCAGGTAGGAGGACGGGTTAGGTTTTGTTAAACCCAGTCGGTTATCGGGTGTAAATTGTGAAACCCTATCCTGGTAAAATGTTGAGAGGGCCTTTTGGGTTCAAGAACTTTGGATTACGGTCTGGTTGGGTCAGTTTTCTGGTGTATTCGGATTGTATGATTTTGACCAAATTCTGATAATATACATATCAATGCTAATTGGTAAAAATAACACTCAAATTCATACCTCCAACACTAGTAAAGACATTACAATAGGCAAATTTCAACAACGTTCAACACAAGTCCAAGATAGGGTGTCATAAGATACTTCAATATAAACAGATTAAGAAATGGCAAATTAGTAATGCCATACTTCTGAAAATAGTGAGAACAGTTTACCACTGCCAAATGTCAACAACATTGGATACAAGTCAACGATAGCAGTATCCAACAGCTAGTGTGCAATCTAGCAAGTATTTCATTTTTCCAGCAACATTCTTCCTATGTACATAAGAAGTTGAAACATAAGTATAGAAAATTTCAAACACATCTCCAGAATTCCTGGAGTTCCAGCAAGTCTTATAGAGTGTCAACAAAAAAAATACGGAGGGAGTAGTACAGAGAGAAAATACAAGGCAGTTAAAGAGTGTCAAATCTCTGTTTACCCCCTTCCCACTCTTATAATATTCTATTATTCTTATCCTTTAAGGAGATTTTACCACTTTCGGTCCCCCGATTATTATGTCAGTGACATTTTTAGTACTCGACTTTCAATTTTTTCATTTTTTGTCCTTGACTATTGTGCGAGAGACACTTATAGTCTTCGACTTTAAAGTTTTCCACATTTAGTCAGAGTATTATCAAATTGACATTTTAAGTCCTTTCACTATGATTTTGGCACAATAAATTGAGGACTAAAAATGTCACTAATATAATAGTTGAAGGACCAAAAGTGTCACTTATATAAAAGTCGAATGACTGAATCTGAAAATTTTCAAAGACGGGTACTATAAGTGTCTTTCACACAATAGTCGAAGGACTAAAAGTGGAAAAAATCAAAGTCGAGTACCAAAAGTGTCAATGACATAATAGTCGGAGGACTAAAAGTGGCAAAAACTTTCCTTTAAGAGTCTGTGCAAGTTCAACATTACATGTCTCGGAACCCTCACTTGTAAACTATCACAATATCTAATATTATTCTATTATTAGTCTTATTATCCGGGTCCCTATCATCCATTCCCCTTTGACAACCACCTTGTCCTTAAGGTGGATGGTAACATGTGACTTTTACAATATGACGATGTCGGCTTTCAGGGAAGCAGTAATGCTCAGGGGTATAGAGAGCAGTCAGTAAGTGAGAAATACCACAAGAGGTAAGGAATTTCCCTGGGGGAACGTATTCACCCCCTCCATCAGAATAAACCATTTTGAAAAGTGGCGAAAATTAGCAATGGATGTGAAGGATGAAAAGTGGATGATGTGTAGTTATCAATGGAGTCGACCATTAGCAAAGCAGCGAAGTACTCGGAGAATCTAAAGGATGTCTGCCACCAAAAAATGACATATCTGCGTGGAATGATGAGGTGAAACAAAAATAAGGACTAAAAGAGAATGCTACAAGAAGTTGGGCGGAAGTTGGAGCCATGAGAACATAGAGGAGTACAAAGAGGCTAAAAGAAAAGTACAGGAAGCCTTAAAGGAAGCAAGAGAAAAAGTGAACAAGAAGTTGCATGTAAAATTGGACTCTAAGGAAGGAGAAAAAAATATTTACATACTTGCTCATCTTCGTGATCGTAGGACTCAAGATATCGAAAAAGTTAAGTGTGTGAAGGATTTCGATCAAAGGGTGCTAATCGATCTATGATATCGATGCCAAACAGAGAAGACAGACAAGAAGGGGGAAAAAGTAAGATAAAACGGATAAAATAAAGATAAATATAAGATAACAATAACATTAGAATATAAGAAAGATAAAAAATAGAAAGATAAAAGAGCATAAATAAGCTAGGAGATAAAAATAAATTTCAATGAGAATAAAGTGAATAATATTGATGATCTTGTTATACTAGATTGTATGGTAAATCGAGATCTTGTGAGAAGGATCCAAATGTAAGAAGTTAAAAGGCTTTGAGAAAGATGGGACGGAAGAAAGCAGTGGGTCGAGATGACATACCGATCGAGGCCTGAAGAAGTTTGGGGGAGAGAGGCATCGAGTGGCTAACACGTTTCTTCAACATGATTTGGAGAAACAACAAAATGCAGTGAGTTGGCGGAAGAGTACTCTTATTCCCCTTCTTAAGAATAAGGGTGACATACAAGAATGTGTCAACTATCGAGGGATTAAGCTTATGAGCCACACCTTGAAACTTTGGGAGCGAGTGGTTGAGCAAAGACTCCGAAAAAATGTGAAAATTTTGGAGAAATTAGTTTGGTTTTATGCCTGGATGCTCAACAGCTGAAGCTATTCACCTTCTTAGACAAGTTGTGAAGAAGTATAGAGACGCAAAAAAGGATCTGCATCAGGTGTTCATTGACTTAGAAAAGGCATGTGACAGGGTATCTCGAGAATGTCCTCTAGTGAACCTTGACTAGAAAAGGCATATCACGTAAGTATATGAGTATTATCACGGATATGTATGAGCCTTGTACTACAAGTGTCTGCATTAGTGATGGAAGGGCAAGATGACAATGCTTAACAATGAGCCTTGTACTACAATGAGCCTTGTGCTAAATGACAATGCTATTTATTAAGAGAAAATTTTGTAGTAACGTTGACACATGGAGATGAGGGAACAGGAACATCAAGCAAGCGGTAGGCGTCACCTTTATTCATAGCTCGTTACAAAATTGATCCCGTTGTCCGGTCCTTAACAAGACAAAAGGAAAGATGAAACTCGATTAGTACATCATTGTCACGACATAATTTGGCAACTGAAAGTAAATTAGTATGAATAGAAGGGACAAAAAGAGTATTAGGTGAGGATAGAGAATGAAGGTTCACATTTCCAACTTGTGCAATTGCAAGACTTTTGCCGTTACCAATAATGAGAGTCTATACTAGTATAGTCTGACACCAAGGGAATGTTATTTAAATTATTGGTAACATGATTGGTTATTGCCGAGTCCCGGGTCTAGTAACCATCCATTTTTCCTAGTCGTGGCAGTATTGGCCTAGGGGGATAATTTTGTTGTTCAAACCTGTACCAACAGTTGATAGCGAGATGGTTCGATTTGCCACAAATTTGACATATAATGACAACACCCGAATTGGTATTACTCCCAAAATTGGTTTGCCTGCCCATGTTATTATTGGTGCGTTCGGTTTTATTACTTCCATGTCGACTTGAATTATAGAAGTTGATGGGACGCTGACTTCGGTTCTGATTTATGACAATTTCTTCCAACGTAGCTTATCTTCAAATCCAACCAATAGAGAGTGGAGTTCTTCAAAACTAGTATCAACTTTTCGGATGGAGTTTTCCATAGCTTCAAACTTGGGACGAAGACCCTCCAGGCTGGAATGGCGAAGTCCCCGTCCCGTCATCTACTGGTCAGCTGGCCATGGCAAGTTCATCCGCAACGGTGCGAAAGTGATTAAGGTATCTCCGATAGATTGTGACCATGTTTAGAATGGTAGAATTGGTCTTTGAGACTCCGAATTTAGGAAGCTGACCGGGTCCCGTATAGGCGCTCCAGACGGATGTGGAGGTCTTTGCAGACCCAACCAACGGTTTGTAAGCTGAATTGAGAGAGGAGACCAAGGCGTGCCGCATCAGACAGTCCTATCTATTCCATCGGAGAAGGCTGGCCTCTTCACTTTCTGTAGGAGGATCGGTTTTTCTGTCAATATATTGATTTAGATGAGAACGGAACAAAAGGTCCATTATGTGATCTCTCTATACAAGGTAATTTGATCCATATGACTAGGGCTGTGCATAATAAGGCATATGGGGTTAGGGGATTATTGGCTGAGAGAGATGAGGTCGAATTATCATGAAGGTCTTCGGGACTTTTGTCTTTTGATAGGGACATAGTCAGCCAATAATGATGATAATAATAGTAATAGAATGATCTTAAATAAGTGTAGTATTGTATAAATAAGGAATCTGGGCCATGTCAGAAAATATGGACCGGCCCATTAGAATATAATAACTGAGTGTGAAGGAGGGTAGAAGGGAGGTAGGCAGATTTTGGATTTGGGAATAGGAGTGGGAGAGACGAGGCACTCTCGAATTTGCCTCAACTGTATCGTTACTTTCCGGTTTCTTCAATTTCAGTTTTCATATTTCAACAATTCATCATCAGATTTCTGTGTACCTATCAATGGTATCAGAGCACAAACAACCTGGAGTGATGGAAGAATTTTATATGACACCTCGAATGGAAAAGAGTTTTGACAATATAGATCGACATATGAAGGAGATGAAAGCAGAGATGAAAGCTATGCTGAACAAGATGAAAGATA